CTAATTAAAAAAGGGTAGCCTCAAATTCCCCCTTTCCTTTGTTTGTATTTTAACATGGCAACAGGGGGTTTTACCAAGTTCACCCACCACCACCACCACAACACACACACAGAGTTACATTTTGGAGCTTCAAAGGGGCACGTAGACTTTCAAGTCAGAGGAATTTTTCAAGAAATTGTAAGCACCTCAAGGTAGGATGGGAGTGAGATGCAATATCCAGGGCACATACTTGGCATCAGATGTTTTCCCACCATGCAATAATGGTGGGGGTTCTTTGGCAACCCTAGGGGAAAAAAAACAAACACCTGAATATTTTCCACTGACTCCTGATTATTCTAGTTGGCATCTAGCTTTTCAAATAATTCAGTGGGTCTATTAGGCAACTGATTCCTGGGTTCACTGGTTCCTCCAGTTGAAGCCAACAGAGACCACTGGAAGCTAGAGAATTCTAATAGAATTGACAGGTATTTTCATTAGGGATTTATTAATTTTTGTGCAGCAGATCAGGCAATGGGGACTTTAAAAATATTCCTAAATAATGGAAGTTTCTACTCAACTGTAACAAGAGCACAACTAGTGAAACACCATAATTTAAGGGTCACACACTGGATGAAATGCGGAATGAATTTTGTAATAATCCACTTTTAGATGCTGTATGTTTGTTTTCACTAGCGTCTCCTGAAGGCTAGGGCGATATTACTAAGGGGGCAGAGGAAATTCAATCAAGGAGAAGTATGTTACACTCATTTTCTATTTTATCTCTGTCCCCCTTTGCTTTTGTTGGCTGGGAGATGACCTTTCTTTTCTGTGGATCATTTTGATGCTCCTTGTGCTCTGAGCAGGGCTGAACAAACCAGCACTAAAAACACTGGTTGTCGTTACACACAAACTTTCCCACTGTTGCAAAGATTGGTGAAGCTATACCTGCGCTAGAGCAATGATTGACTGGAACAACCTAGCCAATTTTTAACCATATGATTCCCACTGTTAGGGTTACAAAAATGCCACTTGTTTTCCCTACTCAGATTGATACAAGACGTCGCACGTTTCACGCACACATACTAATGCCACTAGGGGGAGATAAAGCCCCAGAAAACACAGATAAACAAAGTAGTGACATTACAGTTGTATAACTGTTTGGTATGTAGACATCTAACTAAAGGAAATTGCTCTATTCCAGTGAGTCCAGACTCCTCAGCATATAGCACGGTTAGCAGCACAATTCTTCCCATACTTCACATAAAAAGGAAAGTATGATGATGATTATAAATAAAATTCTGTGGGATACTTTCATTCGTTTAATAAGTGGAAGATCAGTGTTCCCCCCCGCATTGTTTGGCCTTTTACCAAAGATTCTTGATAAAAGTGTGAGGGGGCAGGATGGTTTAGGGTGTAGGAATGACATTCTGTGTTTTTCCATCTCAAGCAAGCCAGGCACAGGTGTCTAAGTGCAGGGTAGACATATATACACACAGTTATGTTGCTTCCTGAATTGGCTGCTTCCCCAAGCTACATGCCTTTCCTTTCACGCAGGGCACATGCTCCTTAAGCTGCTGAGATGGCTCTCAGCAGCACCAGCGTAGCCTAATTGTGTCTTCTTGGATCAATGCATTTTAAAATTATTCAAACACCTTGTCTGTCTTTGTCTATGTAATGCATATCAGGAAATGCTGTCTCTAAGCTTATAGGATTTTTGTCTTGGATGTTCATCACCACAAGTGAATTTATTCTCATGCCACCTCTAGGAGAGAATTACCCATCTATAAATTTAGGGTAACAGAGACACAGAGAGGTTAAGACTTGCCCACAGGGAGTCCACGGCAGAAGACTGGGAAGAGAACCCAGATCTTCGGAGAACCAATCCTATGCCATGGCCATTCTTCCAGTCTCATGGATAGTACATGAGACTGTCAGGACTCCTGAGTTCTCTTCCCAGCTCTGTCACGGACTTGCTGTGTGACTTTGGTGGGTCATTGTACGTTTCTGTGCCCCTAAGTTTACACATCTAAAATGGGGATAGCATTTATTTACCCTCCAGTGGGCTGTGAGGTTTAGCTTTTGTCAAGTGCTTTGAGATCCTCAGACCAAAAGGGCTACTTTTACATAGTAATAGAGTTCAGCTAGGCATGTGTACACCAGTCTTGTAATCAAACGTATCAGACGTATTGTTTACAACTAAATTCCATGGATGATCGGATACAGAGGATCAATTGTCCCTTCACTCCACACCAAATAGCTTCATTGACTTATGTCAGGGGTGGCCAACCTGTAGCTCCAGAGCCACATGTTGCTCTTCAGAAGTTAATATGCGGCTCCTTGTATAGGCACCAACTGCAGGGCTGAAGCTACAGGTGCCAACTTTCCAATGTGCCAGGGGGTGCTCACTGCTCAACCCCAGCTCTGCCACAGGCCCTGCCCCCACTCCACCCCTTTCCACCCCCTCCCCTGAGCTGGCCGTGCCCTCGCTCCCCCCCCCCCCCGCAGAGCCTCCTTCATGCCACAAAACAGCAAATCGGGAGGTGCGGGGAGGGAGGGGGAAGGGGTGGAGTGGGGGCAGGGAAGGGGAGGATCAGTAGGGCTGCCAGTGGATAGGAGGTACTGGGAGCAGGGGGGCGCTGATGGGGGGCTGCTGACGTATTACTGTGGCTCTTTGGCAATGTACACTGGTAAATTCTGGCTCCTTCTGGCTCAGGTTGGCCACCCCTGGCTTACGTTGATGTTGCATTAGGGAGCACATGTGGGGGGGGGGCGCGGGGGGAGGAGGTTAGCCTATAGAATCTAGGTCAGAGTTATCCAGAGAATCATTCACACTTCCATTCAGTTCAGCCTCTAAGATGAGAGGGTTGTGAAATCCAAAAGTAGAACACACAAGCAGGATGAACTTGTGACAGGTTGGACCTCTCTTCTGGTATGCCACCTGAGGTACTAGGATTTCACTGAGCCTGCCTGAAGGTGTACATCTGTGAGGCTTTAAAAATGCTATCACTCTGCCTGCTCCGCTAGCCTGGGGTCCCTCTCCCTGTTTTGCTGAATTAGGCTCTCTAGCAGCGCACACTCACAGGTAGGGACACACCAGCTGTAGATCCACACAGAGTCTCCAAACACCTCTCTATGAGAAGACTCACCTAGAAAATTGCCCAGCACTCCAGTGCAGCTTCCCTCTGGAAAGAACAGCCAAAATAACTGTCGTGAGCTGTAGAGAAATCTATACAATGTAAGCTCATAAATTCACCCCCTCCCTCAAGGTGGAGGAAGATATGCACAACTTCTTGCCCCCCTCCTGTTATAAATTAAACCCAGTTAGTGCAATAACAAAGAAAACAAGTTGATTAATTATAAAAAGGCAGATTAAGTGATTATAAGGGATAGCAAACAGAACAAAGCAGATTACCAAGCAAATAAAACAAAACACACAAACTAAGCTTAAGATCTTAAAGAGACTGGTTTCAAGAAGTAATTTTTCACCCTAAAAGTTGTTTTAGGCAAGTTGCAGAGTTTCTGTAGCTTAAAGTTCCAGTTATTTCTCTTTTCAGACTAGACTCTTGTCTTAGTCTGGACTCAGCCCTTCCCTTTCCCACTGCTCAGTTCCATGTCTCTTCAGGTACTTTCATCAGTCTTTCTTCTTGGGCAGGAAGGCAATGGAGAAGAGTCCTGTTTGCCTTACTCCCCAGCCTTAAATAAGATTTACATAAGGCGGGAATCTTTTGTTTCCCAATCTTGACCTCCCCCTCCTTTTAGTGGAAAATTACTAGAAGTTCAGGATGGTGTTTAGTATCAGGTGACAGGACCACCTGCCTTAGTAGTGTCACAGCTACATCCCAGGACACCTCTCAAGAAGGAGAGAGATTAGTATCTTCAAAGTCTTATTTTTTCTTCCTAATGGCCCATCAAGACTCATGGCCTCTTGTCTGGCGGGTGTCTCCTAAATACACACACACTAGTAATGGTTACATAGTCAATATTCCTAACTTTAGATACAGAAAAGATACATGCATACAAATAGGATAATCACATTCAGTAAATTATAACCTTTCCAATGATACCTTACAAGACACATCTTGCATAAAATATATCTTAGTTATGCCATATCCATCATTAGCATATTTCCATAAAGAATATGGGATATAACATCACAGAAGGGTGATAGCATTTTTAAAGCCTCACAGATGTACACCTTCAGCAATCACTCCCACTGAAGCATGTTTGTCTGTCACATTTGGGTAATTTCATGCTTCTCTGATTGACTGATCAACCCATGCTTTGAGCCCCAGGAAAAGGATGACATTAATCTGACAGTTAACATGACACACCAGGGAGTTCTAGTCATGCCTGTGTTTTATACAGGGTTGTGGGTCCTTCCATCAGCATAGCATATTAGATAGCTCACTACTTAGTATACTTTATATTTGGCTCTAGTATCAACATTTGTCAGGATTAAAACAGTTCTGACCTCTCTAACACCAGCCATTTCAGATAGGGTTAGAAGTGAGCCAGTAGAACAGTAAGCTTGTGCCTATCTGCTTTCCTTAGGGGGGTGGGAGAATAAGTGTTCTGCACCCACACGAGAATTTTAATCCAGCTGGAGGGGGGATGTTTATCAAGGACAAGAGTTTTTAAGATTTCTTAAGCACCCATCATCTTCAAAGTGTGCTAATGTAGCCTGTGGACAGGCTAGAGATTACTTAATTGCCCTTCTCCGGTGCCTAAAAACCTAACTCCCATAGAAAAGCACCTGGAGACCCAGAATTCAGTCTTTAAGGATTTTCAGCAAGGATTGCTCAGAGTCAACCTCCCCACATTCAAGTCTCAAAAGAACTAAAAGCATTAATTTAAGAATTAAGTACCAATGTCATATAATATGATAAAAACAAATAATGTTTACAAGATAACAGCTATTTTATAAGCAACATACATTATCTTCAGTTATATATAGAGAAAAACAAACAAACTAAACAGGTTAGTCCCCACAAGAAGAGTGAGAAGAAACTCATTGAGTTCACCTGGGTCTCAGTTACAGTCTTTGATCACCAAATCTATACAATCTGCTGAGGCAAAAGCAGCATCTTCTCACCACTTGCTTCTAGAAGTTTTCAGCTGGAATCCATGGAGACTCTTCCTCCTCCTCTGCTGAAATCACTCAGTTAGCTAACCAATTAACCAGCCCCTTAGTTAGTATATACATTTTTTAAAAGCCCCATTACAAGAAAAATATAAAACTGAGAATAGCAAAATAAGTGACTCTTTCCCCATTATCACATTTAAATAAAAGTTGGTGGATTATATTAGTTGCAACAATTGAACTAAAACAGTTTGGCTAAAACAAACAGCATTCAAAGCATACAATTAAAATAAATGATTTTTTTTCCTCCCATTTTCTCTTTTCTATAATTAACACTACTTGCCCACTGGAGGATTAACAATATCACTAACCTGCCACAAAGTGCTCCCAATTAAGGGAAAACAGCCTGCTTTCTGCCCCTGGGTTAAGCTTCCCACAACCCACACATGGCCTTCTGCCAGCCACAAAGATCTACAATAGAGGCAAACTAAATGTCTATTTTGAAGGATCTGCAAGTTTTGTTTTTCAGCTTATCGAGTTTGAGTGCAATTTGCTATGTATATACCAAAGAATCTGCATGGTATAAATATATCAGAAGTGAGGAAACCATAGATATCCAAAAGTCAATAAAAGTCTGATAAATTTAGATAATAGATATCTTTAAAGGTAATTTGAGTTTGTTATATAGTTAAGATTTGGGAATGGCTGATTTAGTTAGCTACTAGAGAGACAAGGTGGGTGAGGTAATATCTTTTATTGGACCAACTTCTGTTGGTGAGAGAAAAGCTTTTGAGCTTACATAGAGCTCTTCTTTGGGCCTGGAAAACTGAGCTCCTGACGGTTCCTTTTAAGAATGAATCCAACCACAAATCTAAGGAAACCCAATAATGATTAAGACTATTATTTTGTCACAAAGGTCATGGAAGTCACTGAATCTGTGACTTCCAAAGACCTCCGTGACTTCAGTTCCAGTAGCTGGGACCTGCAGGGTCCCGCCTCCTTCTACAGCAGCAGGGAGCTGTGAGATACTCTGCTGCCTGAGGCAGCAAGGCTCCCTAAGCTCTGAGCCAGCATGGGTGGCGAGGGTACCCCACAGCTCCCCACTGCTGTGGGCATCAGCAGGGGTACCCTGCAGTAGCAGGGGGCTCCTCGCAGCTCCCGCATTGCGGGGGGCAGGGGGAACCCAGCAGTTCTGGGCGACGGGTGCAGGGGGACTGTGGAGCTCCAAGCCCTCAAGGGTGGTGGCGGCCCCCCTAGAGCTCCCACCCACCCACAGCTGCCCAGCCCCTTCCCATTTTATCATGGATATTTTTAGTAAGTCAGAGACAGGTCCTGGACAATAAAGAAAAATTCATGGAAGCTCATGTCCTGTCCCTGACTTTTACTAAAAATATCCATGACAAAATCTTAGCCTTAATAATGATACATTACATCTGGCCACTAGGTGTCAGTGTTGGCCAATCTGAGTTAGTTCGCTGTCAGTAAATATGCTTTAAATAAAAACAAAAAAACTGACTTTTCCCTTGGATAGAGGTCACCAACTGAAAGAATTTTGAGACTTACAGAATAATGGACAGTATTTACTAGTACAAGCAGTGACATGAGCTTTAATGATAGGCCTGTGTGCCGAAGTGAGAATTTTCTGTCATATTTTTATGAATCCCGTTGCTACCCAGTGGAGGGGAAAGTCTCATCAGAGGTTATGAACGCAGCATGGCGCTGCCTAGAAAACAAAGGACTGGGAGGTGACTGACAGGCAATAAAGAGTTGCTTACTGGAAGAGGCTAGGAGCTGTCTACTAGGAGTCTAGGACAGACAAAGGAAGTCAGAGGAACAGAGCCTGAGAATAGAGTTCACTGCAGCTTGGCAGATTAAGTTCTGGTCAAGCCAGAACCACTCTTGTGCTTTAACCTATCTAAAGACTTCCAATGCTGTATTCCAGATGACTAATCATTTAGATCCTGCTCTGCTTTGAAAACACTCTGTGGGTGTCCCTGCACAATGAAAGATAACCTTTGAAGTTATTTACTTACCCAGGTCATTCTTAGATCACAGCATCAGCAGCTGGCATTTCCTATCTTAACAGCCAAAATGTTAATTCTGATCTTTCCAAATAACTGACATTGTCACCATTACATTGGTGTGTGTGTGTGTGTGTGTGTCATTAAAATGAACCTGAGATGTGAGTTCTGCCCTTCTCATCTGCACCTACGTACACAGTGTGACACAAATGTAATCAGCATCCTCAGCCTTAAAAAAAAATCCAGACTACTTACTACCTATTTACTAGGCTGCTTCCAAGACAGACATTGCATGCCTGACATTACAGATTAGAGATGTGTGAAGAATTCATGCTACTTTCTCTGTTCAGGGATTGTCCACAAACAGATCATTACATTCTCGAATATATTTGCTATTTCAAAATAACGAGCGAATTTCTTCATGCCTTTTATCTCTGTATGGGAATCTTACAGTCTGTTGTGAACATCTGACATTCCAACTTCCATATTGGCAAGCTATACAAGTCACATCATATCCTTCCTGTCCCCTGATTGGATGAATCTTGTAACTAGCTGTGACATTTTGGGGATCACCAAGACAGTAAGGGGTTCTAACACTGCCTGCCTTGTAACTTTGGGTTCCTTAATACTATGATGCCCTGACACTCATACCCAGCCCACAAGCATAAACCCTGACTTCCACCAGCCTAGTTACTCTTGCAGAATGACACCAACAGCCCTTCCAGTCCTGAGTCTCCCCAAATCTGTCTACCCTGAGTTCTTAACTACCAGACACTTGGACCTTTTCCCCCTGGCTGACAGCCCTGAAGGAATGACACCTGCCTGCAGTTATCAGTTCACTTTTACACAAGCTCACTCCACACAGTTTGCACACCAGAGATCTGCTTGGGATTAAAAAAAAAAGTTTATTTAATAGGAAAATCACAGATTCAAAGATGAAACAGTAAGGCAATGTAAACACATGCACACTACATTGAAAACAAAGATAGCTTCAAGATTTACACTTCTATATTACCTAAATTCCCTTTTCTAATATATTATGTATTCCCAACGTTCCCCCATCATAGGGGGGATCCAGTGTTTCACGGACAGCTTCCTGCTTAGAGGCCGTCCCTTGGTTTTTTAATCCGGAAACCTTGGCCACAAGCTTGCTTTTAAGAGGAATTTTCCCTGTCTCTCCCAGCATGATGACTCATGGTTATTCAAAATGGGGGGAACTCCCTCCTTTCTTAGTTTCTAAAACTGCAACTTTCTTTTTGGTTTTGATGTTTTTCCATTAACTTTAACTGTACAACAGTTGTCTTTCTGGGTTGTACAATGTAAGTTGGGGAGGCAGCCCCTCCCTGTTAGGAGGTGAAGCTGACTGAATACAGCACAAATTATTAGCACAGTTTTATATCTACAGAAATACATAAATTCATAACCAGTCTGTATACATATCTCATAATGACCATCAGGTTCCGAACATTACAAGCTTTCATAATAATAATGGAGAAGGCACTGTTCTCCCCACTTTCCCCAAAGAGCGATGCCTCTTGGATATGTATTGGCATACTGTCTGGAGTGGCTCACACCATGAGGCCTACCTCAGGGCAGACTCCCCAAACTGGTGGTATGTTCTATAATTAGATTTCACCAACCCAGTAACAAATATGACCTCCTAAAGTACTACAATAGTCTTATAATGGAGTTATAGGCTCCCCTTAGACACTCCAGTCTATCTTGGCACCCATGCAAACTGGACTATGTGACCAATGGTCACTTACATCAAAAGTCACAAATATTCCAGGTTATACCTACTCCTAAGAAACCAGTCACTCACTCAGGTTGATTTGCATCCCAGATCCCACACCAAAGACAATGCTGGTAGCCAATTCTATAGTAAACTGACTAAGGTTTATTAGCTAGAAAAAAGAAATGAGAGTATTGAGAGGTTAAAGCAGTCAAAATATATGTACAGGTGAGTCACAATCTATAATTCCAAATGGTAGCAGATATGTAGTAATCTGACAGTTTCCCAAAAGTCTCTCACGGCTACCCAGAATAACTCTGGGCACAGCCATCTTCTCATTCAGTTATTCTGCCCTGTTAGAATCCAAACCATTCAGAGATGACAAACTTTTCTTTGTGTCCATACTTATAGCTTCTTAACACAGAAAACAAGCTGACAGGGTCAGTACCCACCTGGGCTCTTTCTTTGATGGTGGAGAGAGAGAAGTGCAATTAAAGTCTGATCTCCGATCACTACACACAATGATGACTTGCCTTCAAATGCACAAGAATTAGCACTTTGCTGTTAAAATTCTTCATTTGCATTACAGAAGGTTTCTTTCTCATTTGATGGGTTATTTAGTTACAGGCAAGGCCAAATTAACCTTTTCTGGGCCCCTATGGAGGTAATGGTGCATGGCACGGGGAGGTCAGTCCCCGGAGCGAGGGGCCAGCCAGAGGGAATGGGGCACGGCATGGCAGGGGGGCCCTGCTCCACCCAATGTGAGGTAACTATTTACAAACCAGCAGTTGCCAGATGCACAGTGGCCTGCCTGGCCCTGTGCTGCCAGCATGCTCCTTCCCCTCAGGGGCAGATCTATGTCACACCACACGCCCCCCCACCCTGGCCCAACACCCCCCAACTCCCTATGGCCAGAGGCCCCCCAGACCCACTATTCTCAGCACTCCCCCAGACCCACCCACAAATGCACAGCGCCCTGCACAACACCACCCCTGCCCACAGCTCCACCGCAACTGCCCAGCACCCCCCACTCCCTAATGCCCCAACACACACAGATCTTTCCTGCCTCTTCACAGCCCAGCAGCCCCCAGACTCCCCACAGACCCACTCCCCCACGCCCTGCCTCCCGGCCGCACTCACCAGCCTTGCTGAGAGGCAACTGTGTCTGCCGGGCTGAGCCGGCAGCACAGCCAGGGCTGGTCCCAGGGCCGGGAGTGGTGCGATCAGCCAGGCCAGGACTTGCCTCAGCCAGGGTCCCTGAAGACGCACTTGCCTGGAGGGGCCCAGCCAAGCTCTCCGCACTGTCTCCCCCCTCCCCCCCACACCTGACTGAGACTGGCCAGGCTTCTGCACCAGTCCCAGGCGACTCAGCCCCGGGGAGACAGGTGGGACCCCACAGGTGGTGGGAAGCAGAGACTGCCCAGAGCTGGAGGTGCACTGGGGTCTGGACAGGGGGCTGAGAGGAGCAGGGGGTGGGGTCAGGGGGCAGAGAGGAGGTCTTGTCCAGCTGGCCGGCAGGCCGCGAGGAGCAAGTGGTTGGTAGGGGGAT